GTTCTCAGCTGCCTGGCTGCCAGCCGCCATCTTGGCTGTCAGTTAATTTGCATATCTCGCTGATTAGCCAATGGGAAGGGTAGCGGTCATATGCCAATTACCATGTTTCTCTTTTATTAGATAGGATGGCACTTGGGCTGCTTCCAAATCTTGGCTATTAGAAATAATGCTGCATTGAACTTAGGAGTGTATATATTCTTTCAAATTGATGTTTCAGGTTTCTTTGGATATATTTCCAGAAGTGGAATCACTGCATCATATGTAAGTTCCAATTTTAATTTTTTGAGAAAAATCCTAATATCAATGAATCAACAAACAACCAGTGTTGGCAAGGATATGGACAAAAGGGAACCCTCATGCACTATTGATGGAAATGCAGATTGATACAGGCACTCTGGCAAACTTGATTGTTTTAAATTGCCACCCAAGCAAGAGTCTGTTGAACGAAATCAGTTACTTGTGATGTGTGTTTTTCGTCAGGGAGTTTAAAAAAATACTATCTATTATTTTTAAGAGAATTAACATTTGTAAAGTCATTGCTATAAAATAAAATATAAAGAGAAAGAAAATATTCTGATTGGAATCATACAGATGCAGAAAGTTTGTTCTGACAGGAAAAAAGATGCAGTAGTCTAGACATAATTTTTAGTGAAATATATGGAGAAGAAAATTGAATTTATTATTCACTTCCTATACATATACAATTATAGGGTTTCATAATGAAATATTTCAAAGAGTGTATTTGACCTCCTTTTTTTTTAAAAAAAAAAGCAGCAAATTTACTTTAATGCTACAAGTAACAAATTGTATTGTGCTCTTTACATAGCTTAATATGAAGATAATTCAAAGCTAAGATTTCTTTAACATAAAATAAATGCTGGTCAAAGTTTAATCTAGCAAATATTTTTCTCAAATCACATCCTATCTAATAAAAGAGAAACATGGTAATTAGCCGTACATCCCCTACCCTTTCCATTGGCTAATCAGGGCGATATGCAAATTAACTACCAGCCAAGATGGTGGCCAGCAGTCAGGCAGCTTGAGCGAACATGAGACTTGCTTGCTTCAGTGACAGAGGAAACCAACGTTTCCCGCTTGCCACTGCTGGCCTCTGAACTTGCAGTTTGAAACATTGTTACAAATATAGAAGCTAAACAAAACCCCAGAAACCTGCTTTCAGCGAGCCTGGCTCTCAGAGCTGGAGTTGATACAGAGTTTGA